CCTCAGTTTCCTCATCTTTAAAATGAGCTGGAGAAGGAAATGTCAAACCACTCCAGTATCCCTGCCAAGAAAACCCAAAATGTGGTCGTGAAGCATCAGACACTACTGAAAACAACTGAAAAATATATAAAAAAACAGACTTTGTCTCAGACACATTCACATTGCCCAGAAACTGCCCATCATTAAGAATGTAAGATGTGAGGGAGGCAGAACCAAGATGGCAGAACAAAGCCAGAGACTTGCCTAAGCTCTCCCCCAAACCCTTCCAGATACCTTTAAAACTGACTTTAAATAAATTCTTGAGTGGCAGAACCCACAAAAAGATGAAGTGAAACACATTTCCAGCCATAGACAACTTGGCAGGTCTTCACGATAGGTCTGTTGCACCAGGGTGAGAGAGAAGCACAGTCCAGCTAAAACTGCACCAGCACAAACCCAGTCCCAGCAAAGCCAGAGCAGAGGCCTTGGGATGACTGAATCACTGACAGTGGTGGCGGTTTCCAGACCTTTCAACCCACAGACATCAAAGACAACTTGGAAGGTCAGCAGCAAAGGTCTGTCCCACCTGGATGAGAATGGAGCGCAGGCCAGCACAGGCCACACCAGCACAGCCCTGGCCCCAACAAACCAGGAACAGGCCTTGGGAGACACTCAATCAGTGGACGCTGCTTCCAGAGCTCTCAGTCAACAGACAGCAAGAGGGTCACACAACTGGTCAGAAGGAGATTACAGGGGTCATTTTACTAGCACTGAGGCAGATCTTTGTTGCTTTTCCCATACTCATCTGGCTTGTGTCCTAGGTGGCAGTCCCAGGGTGAGGAGTAGCCCTAGTATACCAGAGCTTGCTGCCACAGTGGAAGGGGGACCCTACTCACAGTTCCAGGGAAGAAAAAGGGTGCTTGTGGCCACTTACAGACCAGAGCACAGTTCCCAAGAGTAGTAAACACCTCTCTTTAGATCATACCAACTGGGAAGAACTGAAAATTTACAGGTCCCCAGAGGTATCTCTGAAAACAGCTGTGCAAAAACCCTGAAGCTTAGGACAGTGTGCCCTCTACCCTGGAAGCAGAGCACTACTTTAACAAAGAGTTAAAAGTCAAGTAATAGGCTGGGAAAATGAGCAAAAAATGGAAAAAAAACCCCTCTGGTTACTGAAAGTTACTATAAGTGACAAGGGAGATCAAAACACATACTCAGAAGAAGATAACAAAGTCAAAACTCCTATGTCCAAAACCTCCAAGAAAAATATGAATTGGTCCCAGGCCATGAAAGAGCTCAAAAAGGATTTTGAAAATCAAGTAAGAGAGGTAGAGGAAAAATTGGGAAGAGAAATGAGAGTGATGCAAGAAAATCATGAAAAATGAGTCAAGTTTGGTAAAGGAGACACCAAAAAAATACTAAAGAAAATAACACCTTAAAAACAGACTAGACCAAATGGTAAAAGCAGTCAAAAAAGACAGTAAGGAGAAGAATGCCTTAAAAAGCAGAATTGGGCAAATGGAAAAGGAAGTCCAAAAGTTCACTGAAGAAAATGCTTCCTTAAAAATTAGAAAGAAGCAAATTGGAAGCTAATGACTTTATGAAAAATCAAGTAACAATAAAACAAAGCAAAAAGAATAAAAAAAATAGAAGACAATGTGAAATGTCTCATTGGAAAACAACTAACCTGGAAAATAGATCCAGGAGAGATAATTTAAAAATTATTGGCCTACCTGAAAACCATGATCAAAAAAAAAAAAAAAAGGAGCCGAGATGTCACCTTTCAAGAAATTATCAAGGAAAACTGCCCTGATATTTTAGAACCAGAGAGTAAAATAGAAATTGAAAGAATTCTCCCATCATCTCCTGGAAGAGATCCCTAAAGGAAAACTCCTAGGAATGATATGGCTATATTCCAGAGTTCCCAGGTCAAGGAGAAAACATTGCAAGCAGCCAGAAAGAAACAATTCAAGTATTGTGGAAACACAGTCGGGATAAGACAAGATTTAGCAGCTTCTACATTAATGGACTGGACGACTTGGAATATGTTATTCCATAAGGCAGAGGAGCTAGGATTATAACCAAGAATCACCTACCCAGCAAAACTGAGTATAATTCTTCAGGGGAAAAAATGAATATTCAATGAAATGGAGGACTTTCAAGCATTCTGGATGACAAGGCCAGAGCTGAATAGAAGATTTGGCTTTCCAATATAAGACTTGAGAGAAGCATAGAAAGGTAAACAGGAAAGGGAAATCATAAGGTACTTAATAAGGTTAATTTTACTAACCTTATTAATTTTTGGAATTCGAAGATGATAGGTATGGGTTGAATATGAAGGGATGATATCTAAAAAATAAAATTAAGAGGTGAGAGAGAAACGTACTATGAGAAAGAGAAGGAGGGAAGTAGAATGGGCTAAATTATCTCACCTAAAAGAGGCAAGAAAAAGCTTTTACAGTGGAAGGAAAGGAGGAGGTGAGGAGGAGTGAGTGAACCTTACTCTCATTAGAAACACACACTCAATTGGGTGTAGAAATCTATCTTACCCTAAAGGAAAGTAGGAGGGTAAGGGTATAAGAGAAGGGGTGGTAGAAAAGGGGTGATAGAAGAGAGGCAGATTGGGGGAGGTGGTAATCAGAAGCAAAACACTTTTGAGGAGGGACAGGGCTAAAGGAGAGAGAGAATAGAATAAATGGTGGGGAATGGGAATTTGATGGAGGGAAATGCTGTTAGCAATAGTAACTGTGAAAAAAAAATTTTTTTTGAAGCAGGTTTCCCTGATAAAGTCCTCTTTTCTCAAACATACAGAGAACTGAGTCAAATTTATAAAAGTAAGAGCCATTTCCCAATTGATAAATGATTAAAAGATAAGGTCAGTTTTCAGATGAAGTAATCAAAGCTATCTATAGGCATATGAAAAAATACTCTAAGGGGCAGCTAGGTGGCGCAGTGGATAGAGCACCAGCCCTGAAGTCAGGAGGACCTGAGTTCAAATGCAGCCTCAGACCAAAACACTTGACACTTACTAGCTGTGTGACCCCGGGCAAGTCACTTAACCCCAATTGCCTCACCAAAAAGCAAAAAAAAAATACTCTAATTTACTATTAATTAGAGAAATGAAAATTAAAACAATTCTGAGGTGTTACTGCAGGTATCAGATTCACTAATGGGCCAGAAGAGATAAATGACAAATGTTGGAGGGGATGTGGGAAAAATGAGACATTAATGCACTGTTGTTACAGTTATAAACTGATTCAACCATTCTGTAGAGCAATTTAGAACTATGCCCAAAGGGCTATAAAACCATGCATACCCTTTGACCTAACAATACCACTACTAGGTCTTTATCCCAAAAGAGATAAAAAACAAAAAGGAAAAGGACCTATATGTAAAAAAAATATTTACAGCAGTTCTTTTCTGGGAGCAAAGAATTAGAAATTGAGGGGATGCCTATCAATTGGGGAACGGCCAATGATGAGGAAAAGAAATGATGAGGAAGAAGCTCTCAGAAAACTCTGAAAAGACTTACATGAGCTGATGCAAAGTGAAATGTACTGTGTACAAAGTAACAGAAATATTGTAAGATGATCAGCTGTGAATAATTTAGCTATTCTCAACAACACAATGACCCAAGACAACTCTGAAGGACTTATAATGAAAAATGCTATCATCCCCAGAGAAAGAACAGATGGTGTTTGAATACAGATTGAAGCATACTTTTTAAAAACTTTTTTATTCTTCTTGAATTGTTTTTGTCTTTTTTTCTTTCACAATATGACTATTATTGAAATGTTTTGCATGACTACATATCTATGACCTATATTGAATTGCTTACCTTCTCAATGGGGGGATGGAGAGGAAAGAAGGGAGAGAATATGGAACTCAGTTTAAAAATGAATGTTAAAATTGTTTTTACATGTAATGGGGGAAAATAAAATACTATTAAAAGAATGTGATATTATGGAACTTTGAAAATGATAAGACAGTATTAGTGGACCCAAGAACCAAAATTCTCCAGCTCTGCTGTGCCCCTGACCCTGACCCTTACACTTAAAATATGAAGTGGAGAAAATATGTGTACTTGTCTCTAAGTTAGGGTGTCAGGTATCTTTTTACTACATGAACAAAAAAAATAAATCAAAGTATCAGAAGGTAGAGGCATAAAAATATTTTCATATATTTTAATAAAACATGAAACACATGTACCACTATCAAAAGGCAAACTTCATATTTTGCATTTGAGATTATCCAGTACAAGTCTATTCTGTCCCCAGAAAGTACAAACAGTTCTTGGTCACTGTACTATAGCAACAGGCTGTACAGCATAACATGGAGTGGAGACCTGATAAGTCTATTACAGAATTTAATTCAAATAATTCAGACTCCTCATATTTGTTCTCTTAGGTCAATTGTTGTTCAGTTGTTTTTCAGTTTTGTCTGATTCTTCCTGACTTCATTTTTTTTTCTTGCCAGAAATATTGGGGTAGTTTGCCATTTCCTTCTCTATCTAGTTCATTTTATAGAGGAGGAAACTAAGCCAAACAGGATGAAGTGACTTGCCTAGGGTCACGCAGTTAGTAAATATCTGAGGCCAGATTTGAACTCAAGAAGAGAAGTCTTTCTGATTCTAGGCCCAGGAGGATATTTACTGTGTTAATGATGCCTAAATCTAGATGTATTTGGATCTCACTATCTCTCTATCCATCACATCCATCCATCTATCTAAAATATTAATATTTAACAATTGATTGTTAGATTTTCTTTCATATCACCATATAATATGCCTAATATGAGGAAAGGATAAGTAGTATTTTGACCACAATACACACAAAGGAAGAATTATAAATAATTTTCCAAAGTTTATACTGAGTAAGTGAAAAAAGAGTAACCATAAATCTCTTGAATTTCAAACCCAGAATTGCAGGCATTGGCCCATTCAACTTCTATGCTAAACACTTACATATGATATACAATTCTCCACTATTATCAACTGGTTGGCAAAAGAAATAAGTCATTACCTTTCCCACATACTGAGGTTCCGAGCCCATGTACTCTTCCAGGACAAAAAATTGATTCCAAACCCAGCCACGTTTAACACGCTGGGCAGGTGATTGCCTTCCTGGCATGATGAAAACATTTTCTCTTGACTCTGTGGTTAAAGTCTGTTGTGGCTGTGACTGCAGTGGTGTTAGGAGACCCCCATCAAACAGGACCCAGAGAAGCAGGGATAAGCAGTTCCTTGTAAGCATTGGCAAAAGCTTCCCTCCAGCACAGTAATAAAAACTCCAGTACTTAATGCAGAATTGCAGAATCCAGGTTTGAGGTGTCTGTGGCCTCCACCACTTAGCTTCTGATTTTATTGAGGAAATGGTAATGCAGGCATTAATCCTTCTGATGATAAGGTTTTTGCTGTGTTAAATTCCATCTAAAGGGACCTATAAAAGAGATTTACATGGCAACATCAAATTGTGCAAAATTAGATTAAAAAGCTCATCAAAACTCTTATCATATTTACCCACTTGTATGATAACCCAAAGGAAAGACATAGCACAGTACTTACAAGCTGTCTTTGTTTCAGAGACCTTGTAAAGACCATTGTAATGAAAGCTGTCAAAATGAATGGTTTTGACCAGGATGTTTTTAAATTCAGTGATTATAAATTCTGTGAAAAGTACAAGTTATCATGTACTTGTGCTATGAGCAGAAATAGCCTTTAATAAAAAAGCATGAAATAGTAAATTCTGGCAGATACTCTAGTCTCTCTGTGTGCAAATTCCCAGTTTGTATGTGTGTCAGAATTTCCTCCATATAGGAACATCCATTCTATAGATTATATGACTTCTGGTATTTTTTAATGAAGAAATATTCAATGTTTACTCAGGAAATATGAAAAATAAAGGATAACCAAGGGTGACATAGTTCAATGAATAGCTACATCTTTACCTCTATGTCTTTATCATCTATTCTCTAGCTTCTTTCATCTCTCTCTTTATTGCTCATCAATTTATCTTATCTCTCTCTATCAACTCTATCTATCTCTATCAACTCTATCTATCTCTTTCTATTGCCAATTTATCTTCTACCTATTTATGAGATTACATCAATCAGTACTGGGAGCTTCAAGGTAATAAAACTTTACAAGTAACGCAAATTGGCAATTTATTGGCAATTTATATTTTAGAGCAGGATTTTAATTTCTTTAATATTTTGATAACTATTTCAATTCAATTTGTTTTCTTTATGATCCTATGTATTTTTTTTAATTTAAAAGAATTACTGCCAAAGAGGTCTATGACATAAAATTAAAAAAAAAATGTTTAAGAGCCCCTGGTTTACAGAATTGCCTTGGAGCCAGAGAATGAGGTGATTGGCCTTGGGTGACAAGCCAGTATATGTCAAAGACAGGAACTGAACACAAGTCATCCTGACCAGGGAGGCTCTTTAAGTACTGTCACACTGATTTTCAGTTGAATATAAAAAATCTTTTAATTTTAATAAAATGATCAAGGTCATCCCCATTTCTGCCATTCATCGTTTAAGCCAGGTTTAAAACTAAATTTGATATGGTAAACCAGAAAGAACAATCTGTTTAATTATATGTACAACTACCACTTCATTGGAAAAATGTTATTATCCTCTTTTTCCCCCTGAAGCCCCAGATACTTCAGGATTTTATATTGAAAATATTCACACTTTCATTGAGAAGATAATCATCAGGAAGTAGTATCAATGTTCAAAATAATTTAGTGGTTTTTAAAATATTTTTAAGTAGTGAACAAAAATCAGATGATAATCTTAATCCCCAAATTTCTCATTAACATCTCCTACTTTCTAATACAGAGTCCTACATATTTTCTGTCTTCTTTTCTATCTCCCAGATCAAAACTTGTTTCAGAAAAATAGGATGATAAACTCAATGGATAAGGAGGAGATGACTGAGGAGACTGAAAGAGAGGCTCATCTCTGATGGAACATAGAATTCGCATGACACAGAGGGTCTTGTGAATTGCATACCTGTAATGACACTTACTATTCTTTATCTGTTAGAAACATATTACAAGAAATAAAAAGGAGATCTGATTTTTTTTAAAGATTAAAATGCAATGAAAATGCAGCTCAGAAATACACATTGGCACTTTCTTCTGTATCAAAGAACACTTTTGATCCAGAAGCAAAACAGGATAACAGACACAGATTTGTAAGGAAATTGTTAATTTTGCCTTCCGAGTTGCTATTGCTAAGATATCAAAATATAAGTGAAAATATAGTTTATTTTTTATTGAAAATCCATTTCCTGAAGCAACAATTCTCACATAGTTGATGTAGAAAATCTCAGATAAGGTTCAGTATTTTCAATCATCAGGTTGTGGCTAAGAACAGGACATTTCAGTCTGGTCATGGGGTAGCATGCCTGAGGATCATGCAACATACAAATGTATCAACTGCTTTGCAGGGCTACACCAGTGTTTTCATTTACTTAATGAAGACTGTATTGTACTTTTCCTTCCATCATTTTTTTCAGGTTAAAATGTAATTGACATAGACACCCTACAGATGGTCATTTATTGAATTTTCTAATTCTTATTCCTCCTCACTCTCAGACTTCCCTGCCCACAACTCTAATCTTTTCAAACAGACATACATGGTAAAATATAACCACATTGATGAGTAAGGCTGAGGGAAGAAGATAAGATTCCCCTAGAGCCTCTTGACAGGACATTTTGTGCTTAGTTAGATGCAAAACTAGTTTTTACTGGAAGAAGAAGAGTGAGAGAGAAAGACAGGAGAAAAGACAGATAGATATACACATACATACTTATAAAGTAGTGAGTTCCCTAACACTGGAGGTCTTCAAGGAAAGGCGAGATGACAACTTGTAAGAATGACATAAGGAACATTCCTGCTTAGGAACAGGTTGGACCAGATGGATTCTGAAGTCCCTTTTTATCTTTATTACATGACACAGTGGATAGAGCACAGGGCCTTTGGTCAAATAGTTCTGAGTTCAAATCCAGCCTCAGGGTCTTCCTAGCTGTGTGACCCTGGGGGCAAGCCACTTAACTTCTGTTTGCTTCAGTTTCCTCCACTGTAAAATTGGGATAAATATTACAGCACCTACTTCTCAGGGTTGTTGTAAAGATCAAATAAAATAATATTTTTAAAGTATTTAGCACAGTGCCTGACACACAGTAGTCATTATATAAATGTTTATTTCATTCCTTTTACCCCCCAGCACCTATGACATATTTGGTATTTAATAAATGTCTCTGGAATGGGATTGGAGTGGATTGAACTATGAGTGTGGTGAAATAGATCAGCCTAAAATCAGCTGAGTCAACTTTGTGTTCATTTAGTTAGCATTCCCAGAATTAGATAACTGACTCATTCATTCATTCAATTAAAAACCTATATCTCCCCATCTCTCCCAGGCTGGAAGCAAAGGGTCTACTCGGAGACTCTATCTCAATATTGATTGGCATAGAAGCTTTCACTTTCTTCATTTCTGACCCTGACCAATTCATCTTGCCTTATGTTACCTGGTGGCTTTATGCTCTTAGGGGGTTACTATTGCAATGCTGAACTTAGTGAGGTCACCTGATCAGTATGGCCCACTGAACCTCCAAAATCCTGTACTCAAGAGATATAGCAATCTCAGCCAACCTATTTGGTAGCTGGGGTTACAGGTATGTACCATCATGCCTGGCTTTAAACTAATTAAATAAATTAATCTAGTTCCTAATTATTCAGAACCAGGATGTGCTGATGTCATCATATATGAGTAATGATATAAGTACTCTCTGATCCTCCTACCATTAATCATACTATGGCTCATGATTACTGAAGTTAGCTGTGATCAATTTTCCATACCTGTGACAAAAGAACCTGATGACGGTTCTGGGATCAGAGACATCCCAGGTAGGCATACATATGTTTCTGCAGCCCATTTTATATAGTTACTATTTTAACTTTTTTTTGTTAATTTAATGCCTGCATTATGTGGTTATTCTTTGTTAACTAAATAATTGAATTATAAGAATATCAGCAGCCCATATCTTTCGTCTGTAGAGCCCTAAACATAATACTGGAAAAGAAACACACACACACACACACACACACACACACACACACACACACACACACTCCTTCATCTATGTAATCTGAGCACATATTTTTTAAGAGCTCCCTAGCCAACATCATTGCACCATGATCCTAAAATCCATTCCATGTTAACAGTAAAAGTTCAGCCCCTTACTGAAGAGATATAACTGTCAGTGCATTATGACTCTCCCAGCAGATCACAGCCTCCGGCCACAGCTGTCAGCCAGGGAGCTTTTAAAGTGTTATATCGCAACAAAAATAATGCAAGGAGATTGGAGGACTCTGGCTCTTAAATGAAAGGGAAACAACTCCCTTCTGGCTGGCAACAGAGCAAAAAACTGCATTTCACATACACACTCACATCCAACCACAATCCCCCTTCATGCACAGGTGTCAGCACCAATAGCACTGATGTAGAAACATTAATAGTAGATTTATTTTGAGGTGCGAGACCCCATGGAAACATCTATCCTTTAAAGATGTCCTTGTTACAAGGTTCAACTCCTTGTAACAGTGCCTCATATTGGAAGACAGAGGCACCGTGGTCAAATATTGATTTCTGACTAATAGTCTTTCACTCTTACAGAGCCAAAGTGGCATTCCAAAGGCATTCCAATACTAATGTTAACTCTCTGGAACCAAAAATTCCTTTCAATAGAAGGGAGTTAAAGAAAAAAACAACAACAAATCAAGAGGGCAAATCCATAGTGAAGAACTTATTAACAGAAATACTCCCCCATTCAACTGATCTCTAAGTCCAGATAACAAAAAGGCAAGATTCATATAAATATATATGTATATATGGGTATATGTATGTATGCATGCATGCATGTATGTGAATCTATATATAATATATAATTCCTTTTAAAATTATTCCAATAAATTTATATGCTTTTGGAGTTTAGAAAGCTTTCTTTGCCCAAAATGAACAAATTCCGGAAGGACAGGTTTTATCAAGTTGTAAAAACTCTGAGCATAGGCCAGGTCCTATGTTTGGACAGGCTCTGTGCTAAACTATTGAGACCAGGTGGTGTTTTATTTATTTTTTTAAACATAAAACTCTTTAAAGTCAAATACTAAGAGTAGGTGTACTCATCTAACTGAAATTATGAGCCTTTTACAGTGTCATAAGTGTGGCTGAGCACATTCT